TTAGAGGCTGCCTACGATAGGCAGGTGCATATTCAAATAAACAACACTGATGGCAATAATAATTTTACCTACCATGTATTGAACACTTGCTATGAGTCAGGTGTGGTATTAGGCTCTTACCTACATCATCTCCAGGCAGCTCCTTTATTCACCCAAGATTCATCAGGTATCAGGCCCCATGAGCTGCAGAGAACAGAAAGACAAAGGAAGTACACTTCCTGCTTTTGACGTGCTCATGTCCATAGGTATAATTTGTGTCACCTTTACAGAGGAGGAAAAGAGGTCACACAGTGAGCAAGTAAGTGGCTGAGGTAGGAGGCCAAAGCTGGTCAGTGTGACTTCAAGGCCATAACTTTTGTGAAGACAGCATACTCCTGTATCCACAAGCCCACAAACATCACTAGCCTAAGAACAACTATGAGGAAGGAACAAGCCACAAAGAATACATACAATATAATTCCATTTATATGAAGTTCAAAAACAGGGGCTTGTGTAGCAGAGCACAAGTAGCAGTAACACTAAAGAGAAAAGCAAGGAAATCATTTCCACAAACTAGGATAGTGGCCATCTCGGCGGGAGAAGGGGAATGTGATGAGAGGGTACACAAGGGACTTCTGGGGGCTGAGAATTATTCTGTACTTGGTGGTGGTGGTTATATGGGTGTCCAATTTTTAAGGACGCATTAAACTGTACGTACATGTTTTATTTATTCCTCTGTATGTATGACATATTTCCCAGCAAATAAAATCACAGTAAGAACAACTGTGTCAAGTGGAATGTTATTTGCCAGGTGCAGGCACCTGTGATGGCAGGTAAAGAGCTCTTTGCCAGAGACAGGAGGGGCATACGGCCTTCTTGCCTTTGGCAATCTCCCACATAGATGGATTCGCAGCCTGGCTCACCACTATCTTCTCGACGTGTGTTACACCCAGAATAAACTCTGAGGAGGACAGTGCTTGGCAAGATCCTGTTGCCATTTGATACAACGTGTCTGAGCAAGTTGAAGTTTTTCTGTTCCCGAAAGGGGGGTTGAAGAATGAAACCTGATTCACATTTTAACAACAGTCACTTAGATCTTTACCCAGCAAAGAGCAACTTTGTACAACAGCGTGAGAGAGCGCTCAATCCCAGGGTATCAGAGATGAATTAGGCTTTAATTTATTCCCTTTCAGAACCTGTTGAAAGGCAGAGGGCACTTTTAGGTTCGGTTCTGTTGGCGATGTTGAAGCCAGACCAGCTGGAAATACAGGAGGGCTTCCGAAGCCAGTCTGTCCACCGGGAGGATGAGGGCAGGGGACTGGGAGATGTCCTAACTCTTTGGGGGATTTTGAGCTCATTGTGCCCAGTCCCACCTTGGTCAGATGGAGCTTTCTTTGCTTTCTGAGTTACCAGCTCTCTAGATGTCCTGGGCTTACAACAAGGCTCTATATCTAGACTTGGGGAGTGGTTACCTGTACCTGAGGTAGGGTCACATGGAGCTGAGGTGTGTTTTAGGGCCCAAAGATTGCCCTTCCACTGTCAGTTGGAGGCAGGGAAGCAGGAGAGGTAGAGTTGCCAGATAAAGTACTGGACTCCTGTTAAATCTGAATTTCAGATAAACAATGAATAACTTTTTAGTATAAGTATGCCCCAAGTATTGCATGGGATATACTTATACTAAAAAAGTATCCATTGCTTATCTGAAATTCAAATTCAGCTGTTCAGTGGAGCATTCTGTCTTTTTATTTCCTAAATTTGGCTACACTGGGAGGGGACGGTACCTAGCATCTAGCAAAGGGAAGGACAACTGGGTGCAGCAGAATGCTCCCAAGCTCTGTGAAGCTAGCAATTGATACTGCTTTCTTGATCTGCTCACGATCTCCATTTCTCTCCCTTTCCCCAGCCCTTGGAGGCTTCTAACTAGTGTATAGGCTGTGCACCTAATCTGCACCACATATTTGATAATATTCAGGAATTATTATTATGTTGTGTGATAATGGCATTGTGGTTTTTTTTGAAAGGAGGTCTTATCTCTTAGAGATGTATACTGAAGTATTTATAGATAAGCGATAACATATCTGACATTTGCTTCAAAATAATATGGCGGGATGGGGGGGGAGCCAATATATATCATCAAATAAAAGGGCAGATGTGGTGGCCAGGGACTGGCAGCAGAGGAGGGGATGGACTGCATAGGGGCACAAGGAAATTTGGGGAATGACAGAAATGTTCTGTATTTTGATGATGGCGGGGTTTCAAATTAGTTAGAAACTTATGTCCACACACAAACCTATACACAAATGTTTATAGCAACTTTATTCATAACTGCCAGAACTTGGAATGAACCCAGATGTACTTCAATAGGTAAATGGATAAACAAATTGCGGTACTTGCATACAATGAAATATTATTCAATGATAAAACGAAATGAGCCACTAGGGGGTTAGGGGTGGGAGAAATGGGGAGATATTGGTGAAAGGTTACAAACTTCCAGTTATAAGATTAACAAGTTTGGGGACCTAATGCACAGCATGGTGATTATAGCTAATAATACTGTGTCATATATCTGAATGTTACCAAGAGAGAAGATCTTAAATGTTCTCACCACAAAACAGAAATGGTAACCATGTGATAGGATGTAGGTAGCCGCTAATACTATGGTGGGAATCATTTTGAAATTTATAAATGTATCAAATCAACATGTAGTCCTTAAATTTATACAATGTTATGTGTCAATTACACCTCAATAAAGCTGAAAGGAAGAAGTGAGCCACCAAGTCAGGAAAAGACATGGAAGACCCTTAAATGCATATTGCTAAATGAAAGAAGCTAGTCTGAAAAAGCTACATACTGTATGATTCTAACTATATGACATTCCAGAAAAGGTAATACTATAGAGACAGTAAAAAGATCAGTGGTTGCCAGGGGTTAGTAGGGAGGGAAGGGAGGAATGAGTAAGTGGAAGACAAGTGATGTTTAGGGCTGTGAAACTATTCTGTCTGATTCTGTATATGACATTATGCATTTATCAAAACCCATAGAACTGTATGACACAATGAATGAGACAGTGTAAACTATGGCCCTTAGTTAATAATAACCCAGTATCAACATTGATTCATTAACTATAATAAATATATCACACCAATGTAAGATGTTAATAATAGGAGAAAATGTGTACTTGGAGAGAGGGGGTATATGGGAATCCTCTGTGCTTCTACCAATTTTTCTGTAAACCTAAAACTGCTCTAAAAAACTGTCTGCTAATTTCTTAAAAAGTAAGGAAAATAGAAGGAAAAAAATCCAAATGAGATATTTTGGAATTTCTCAATAAAAACCAGTTGCTAAAAAATCATTGAAATTAGATTTAATTGAGATAACTATGAATGACTGGAAGAAAATTATTAGAAGGATTTTACATTCAGGTTTCCTCTGAGTGACTCCAAGTTCTCATTGCACATTAACCTGAAAAATGGAAATTCTAAAAACTATTAAAAAGATGGACAAAAACACACAATCATGTTACTCTACAGATGTACTCTGCAAGCATGCCCTCCCATCTCTTTGTTTACCCAGCAGTAGTTTTGCATGTAACCGCGCTGTATTCGCCAACTTTGTTTTCTGATTCTGTGGGAGGGTTACTCATGTTCACAAAGGGTGGGGTATGCAGGGAGGCCCTCTGGAAATTTGATGAGAATGAGGGGGAACTTTAAAATATCAACCCAGCCACACTTACAAACACTTGTTGGAATTGCCTCCATGGAGGCTGGGATCCTGTGCTGTTAGAAGCCTTCCCCTGACGGGCTGGCCTCGGTTTTATTGCTTTGTAACCATTGGGAACCAGCTTCTGGCCAAGCATCTGGGAGGGCACACCCAGTTCCCAGCTCTGGCTAGATGTGAAAGTGAAAGGTTCTCATTGAACTCTGTGGGCTGGGAACAGAGCCACCTGTCAGGAGGAAGAACAGGTTGCGCCTAACTCGAGGGTGCTCCCAAGCGGCTGTGGACCAGCAATGGTCCCTGCAGAGAGAGGCAAGAAGTGTGAGCCAAACCGTAAGTATATAAGTGTGAGTACATGGAGAGCACAGAGGAGTCTGGGGTACAGAATCCTTGACTGTAACTTCCACTCGTGGCCTGGATATGCCAGTATTGTCACAGGGTAAACCCGGAGCTTAGAACAACTAATCAATGGTAACTGATGTTTATTCGGCACTTACTCTGTGCCAGGCATTGGGCTACACGTTTATGCAAAATATCTCATTTAATCTTCACAACAATCATAACAGGCAGGCCCTATTTGTACCTCCATGTTATAGGCGAAGAGATGGAGGCACAGAGAAATTAAGTAGCTTGCCTCAGGTCACAAAATTAGCATGTGGCAGAGCTAGGATTTGCATCTGGCCTGCTGGACCCCAGAGCTTGTTGTCTTCATCACCATGCTAGTGAGGAGGAGGGCAAAAAGATTACAGAAAGTGTTCCTTAAATGGCTACAGCGGCTTTCAGCTATTACTGCTTGATGAGGGAGACAGATGGGTCTGCTGATACAGGAAGAAGCTGAAAGGGGGAGAGGGGTGGGGCTGGGATGGCAAACAGCTGTGACAAGTGCCCTCCGACTGGAAGGAAGCTTTTCCAGGCCAGAAGTGTCTGTACCTCGAGTGCTTAGCATGGTGATGGACACAGAGGCGGTGCTCAGTAAAGGTTTGCCGAATGAATGCAAGAAAGAATATGTTTTTGGCCATCAAAGCCATTTACATAGAATTACCTCCTAGGCCCCTAATAAACATCTGATTGCCTGCTGATGATATTTTTTTTATTTAGGTAAAATATATTTAGCATAAAATTGACCATTTTACCCTTTTTTAAGAGTATAGTTCAGTGGCATTAAATACATTCACATTGTTGTGCTATATACAACGACACAGAGATTAAGAAACCAACAATCCCTTTCCTCTCTAAACTAGTCAGCATTAGAGTTGGTCAGGATGGCCTAAATTAAGCTGTGGGAACAAAAAACTCCAAAATCTCAGTAGTTGAAAAAAATAAGGTTTATTTCTTTCTCATGCTATGTGTCCGTCACAGGTCAGCTGGGGGCTCTGTTCCACGTTACTCTCACTCTGGACACCAGGCTGACGTGAGAAACACTAACTGGAGTACCGCTGGTTGCTATGGAGAGAGAAAGAAGTGGGAGAATTTGTATTGGCTCTTAAAATATCTGCTCCCATGTCATTGGTCAAAGCAGGTCCCGTTCCACATCTAACTTCAAAGAGGATATGGAAGTATACTCCCATCACGTGTCTGGAAAGAAGGAAACAGGATGTTTGTGAAGAGCGTGAGAATACTACACGACTCTTTCAGTTGCAAATAACATAAACCAAATTTTAATTGGCCGAAGCAGAAAAGGGAATTTGCTGACTCACGTAAGTGTAGGGATTGTTTGGCTTCAAACACGGTTGGATCTAGATAGTCAAAGATGTCTTCAGTGCTCCATCTCTCTTTTGTCTGGTCCTTATTCTCAGCTAGCGGCCTCCCAAGTCACGACAGAAACAGCCATCAGAAAGTTTCACAATTATTTTCCATCAACTATAAAAAGGAGAGTCTCAGGGCAGTGTGGTGGCATAGTGGCTGAGTTCGCACACTCCGCTTTGGCAGCCCGGGGTTCACTGGTTCGGATCCTGGGCATGGACCTACACACTGCTCATCAAGCCATGCTGAGGCAGCATCCCACATAGAAGAACTAGAAGGACTTACAAGTAGGATATACAACTATGTACTGGGGCTTTGAGGAGAAAAGAAAAAATTATTTATAAAAAAGGGAGAATCTCTTCCCACTCTGTTCCACAAAAGTACCTGGAATGATTTCCATTGGCCTAGATTGAGTCACATGTCCATTCCTGGTCCACTCTCTCTGACTCTGATTAGTCTGGCCTGATTCAGGTGCCCAGGCTTTTGGAGCTGGGAAGTGAGTCAGCCCCACTTGAAAACTGTGGATGGATAATGGGGGAGGGTTGTCTTCTCCAAATGAAGAGATGATTCCATTACTAGAAGAAGGGACACTGGGCAGGCCAAAACAAAAGATATTCATCGTGTTCTCTCTTCCCTTTTGTGGTGGGTCAGATGCACCTGTGATGGAATCCTGTTGGAATGTGTGACCCCAGGCTTATACCTGCTACCACCCTTCAATTTATGCTCAAGGAAAGGCTAGGGCTTACTTCTCTGAGCAAGGTGTGGTGGGGAGGAGCTGCTTAGAAGTGGGCTATGGAAGAGGAATGATCAAAGATAAGTTGAGATTGGAGCCCAGAGAGTGAGAGAGCAATAATGCCACTAACAGAAATTGAGGGATGAGAAGGAGAATCAATTTTGGAGGGGAGAGTTGAGCTCTACATCTTGAATTTGAAATGACTGGGATATGCACGTAGAGCAATCCACAGGCATTTGGAGCTGCAGAAGCATAACTCTGGATAAAGGGGAGAGCTAGATATTGACTTGAAAATCATCTGATGATAAGAGGTAGGCTATCCGGAGGCCTGAGACACCTGAGGGAGAAAAGGAAAGAAAAGAATGTGGTCTTCCTTGGGAAATATCCCCAGCTAGTGGGTGAGACAAGGAAGGGGAGCCACCAAATGTGACTGAAGAAGATTGGTTATAAGGATGAAAAGGAGATAAAGGGTAGTTTCTACTTCTCAGAGATGTCCTCAACTTGCCCAGGGAAAGGATGAAAAACACTTTCCATGTCATTTCCTCTGACCTCACTCTCACTTCTGATTTTCCTTCTTTTGATCCCGGATTGTATCATTATATCTCTGTGATCTACAAACACCCCTGCACATCCATGTATATGATGATATGCTTGATTATACTTACATTTGTTTCTGTATGTCTTTTGATTGTCAGTTGCCTGATTCACCTACTACCTGTTGATCTATCCCTGTTTTTACTCAAAAGATTATTAGAAGATGATGCTAAGCGGAAGTCTTATCATATTGATTAAAAACCTGAGCTTTCTCAGCAGAACTGGGCTCTAATCTGTGATGTCACTTACCACTTTTGTGGCATATTTTAAATTACTCAAGCTCTGAGACTTAATTTCCTAATCTGTGAAATGGGGATAATGATATCCACTTCCTAGAGTCACAGAAATGACTAAATGACATGACTTAATTGGAGCTCTTAGCATAGTGCATGGCACATAAAAGTAGCTACCATATATTGAGAATTTATTTTCAATAATAACGGTAATAAAGCAGAAAATTTGAAGCCATGAAAAGCCTTCATAATATTGTTGATTAAAAAGGCAGACTGTCAAATAGCATTTACAATATGACCTCATTTTTACTAAAACACATGCACACACACACACATACACACACACAAACACAAACACAGGACTGGAAGGATATATAGCAAAGTGTAGCAGTGATAGTATGGGTAGGATTACAGGTGATTTTTGTTTTATTATATTTTACTTTGCTCATCTGCAGTTAGCTGTATGTTATTTTGCTTATCTGTGATTCCTGTAGTTTGTACAATACATAGCCACTCCTTATGGAATAATAAGAAAACATGTCTCTATAAAAGACAGAGAAACAGTGAGTGATTTTTCTGCAAGACCCAGCAAAGCTGAACTCACAAGATGCCCTGGGGTGGGTAAGGTACCAGCTTATTTCGTCAGGCTTCAGTTGTCCTATTTTTCCGTGTGTTTGTTTTTTCACTCTCCCAGGCTGTCTTTGAGGAATGGAAGTACTGCTCTCAGGGAAATCCCACCCCACAGACTCTAGGCTCTTCTGGACATCAAAGAGCCTGGAGCAGTCCATCCCTTATCTGGATGTGGGCACAGATTGCCACTAAATTCTTCCCTTCGCAGCTACCCTTGAGGGTCTGTGGTAATAGAAAGGAGCAGCGCTGTAATGCACGAGAAATCTTCTAAGCGACTGAACCCAGAATGTTACCATCTGCATGTACTTCTTATTTTTTGGATCAGCAGATGTACTGCTCCAACAATTAGGGACAGCTTGCATCCCACGGTACACAGTGGCTGACAAATGGGGAAAGCACCTCAGAGGCTGGGACATGAGGGGAAGGTGGGGGCTAATTCATCCAGCAGATCAATCATTTGAATAATTAATATGTGACTTCCCTAACTCTTAATAGCTGTAGGAGTTCACACAGACCAATGGCCTTTAAGTAATTAGGCTTTGAGAGGGGAAGATTAGCATAAACTTAAATCTCTCTTCACTTCCCACAAGACTGGTACTCACAGTTCTCAAATACCAAATACTGGTGACCTGGGAGTCTGGAGGGTGGGAGAAAGGAGTAGGATGGTTTCCTCAGCTGGTAAAAGAGTTCTGAGTATTCTGAGTTCGCCTGTGAGGCCACTCCGCACACATGCTTGGTTTAGTACGTTTCACACTTTCAGAACTCTGTTGTAGCTACACACGTGCACTTGATCCTGAGACGCGCTGGTACATCAACAACGGGCTAGGTAGGTTGAGGAAGAAGCTGGGGATTGGGGTGACCAGGGCTTGGCAAACTGATGTGGCTGCACAGCGAGTTCCAGGAGGCTCTGAGGATCCACACCTGAGGAAGTCAGATCTGGTGGGTGGCAACCAGGCTTCCTGCCAACGTTTGTTGGGCCCAGGTAACAACACAAATAGAGACTCATGTACCATATGTCTAAATAATTAAAGTGTAAAATCAAGCTAGCAAACGGTTAAATAAAACACATCCTCTCTGCTTTAACTAGTTTCATCACAACAAAGAGAACATACTTTCATGACAACAAAATAAAAAAAATCCATAAAGCTGTGGTTTTTAAATGAGTGAAAGCCAGCAAAACAGCAAATACGATTGAATGTAATTATCACTGGAAATGTAAACTCAGGGAATATTAATTTCAATTTCCTTGGGTTTTTTCTTTCTGGTGGTTCATCAATATATATATTACTTGTTTCCATGACTTTTAAAATCTAATATATTACTTTTATAATAATAAAGAAAAAGAAATATACTACTTTTGATTATAGTTTGTAATATAATCTAATTAAATTGAGTAAGATTTACTTCTAAATATGTTGTGTATGAGTTCTCTTACTTTAAAACAAATTAATAATCTCATTTTGCATTCTCCATTCTATATGGTGATCATCTGATGCATTTTTAAACCTATATTATGTGTTGAATATTTTCGCATCACATTTTGAAATAATTTCTACGAAACCTAGAAAATTTCCATTATTTTCTGTAAATTTTGAGCTGTCATTGCCACAAAAAGCATCATGTTTGATTAAGTATTGGAGATAAATTTTATTTTATAAGGACATCCTACATCATATAAGAACATCATTTGTCTCTGTTGAATACTATTTTTGTTTGGCCCTTTATTCAGTCTTTAAAAAAATTAATTCTAGTAGTCGTGTATGCATTTTTTTTTGTGTGCACAAGTGATATTTCACTTTAGTCAAGAACCTAAGTGTTTCCAGGCACAAACACCTTAACTGGCCCAAACTGATCTTGTGGACTGGTTATAGAACTCTGTCACAGCAGTAATAAAATATTTGCTACCTAGGATGTAAAAACATATAAAAACTATTTCTACAATTTCTTTCTCTATCTAAAATAATTTTGCTGTAAAATTAAATACTAAATTTTCTGCCATGTTCAGGCAATGGAAAATTGTAATCATTAATTTGAATTGAATTGCATTTTGCTGGGAACATATTTATGCTGTCAGAATGTGACAGCCATTTTTCAGGATCTCTATCCAATAAGCGTAGTAAAGCTCCAGAGGTTTTTCGGTTTTCACATTCAATTGCAGCTCTTATAAATGCAATTTTCTTCATATGCTAATGGACAGGCAAGAATTGCATTTGGCTTTCTGAGTTATGACTTTATTATGAATAATTCTTTTGTTGTTTTCATTGTTTTAGTCAATAATTAAGTCTGCATTTAGTGAAGAAGATGAAGTTGCAGGAATTTCATCCGAGGTTTCAAATTGTGGGTTGGAAGATATTTTTGTTCATTTTCATTTGATTAGTAGTGAAATCTTTATTAAACAAAGAATGTGTAAAGTCCTGTCTGCAAACTTTAAGTGGGTCACACTCAAGAGAAGTCTGCCCCTCCCATTGTTTCCAGTTTTTAGACATTTAAGAAGACTATGTTCTATTTCATTTTCCTTCAGCCTTTTTCTTCTCTGAGCTCCACTTTTGTATTTTCTATCTCTATGGTGATCTTGACTTGTACTCATTTTCAAAATTATTTAAATAAAGCTGAAATTAATATCTAAATTGTTGGAAAATTTACATCTTATTAAAATTTTTATAAAGAACTATAATTCTAGCATTCAATGTGCATCTAGTTGATGATTCATATAATGTTTATATAGTGTTGCATCAAGACCTGCATTTATACAAATCTGAGTTATATGAGTTATGTAATGTTACAAAATATTCCTTAGCTGTCATTTGCAACTGTTGCAAACACCAGAACTATGCACCACTGGGAAAAGATACCTTGTTATGCAAGAATCTACTGCATTCATGCCAGCTGAGATGAAAGATTTGACAACTTAATAGATTTGTCTTTTT